GGCCCCTCTGGACAGTGTTTGATTCAAAACACTGCTTCTCCAAGTGTGACTCTGAACCGGGGGTTTTCCCTGCAACCTTGTCCAAATGCAACTTCAGGGGTCCTCATTAACCTACTGAATCAGAATCCATGGGGATAGAGACCAGGGTGCTGTGTGTTAGAGGCCCCCTGGGAGATTCTCCAGTACATTAAAGGTTTGAGAACCAAGAAGTCGAAGAACCAACTCAAGGAGTCAAAACTACTTGGGAAGACACACGGCATACGAGTCACCCCACTGCTGGGTGGGGGGCAGCCACAGCAAGACCACTGCTACAGCTGGTGGAGGGGGGCCCAGGGAGGAGGCATAGACTTCGGGTTGGCAGAATGATTGGCAGGAATGATACAGGATTTTAGGGCCTTCACAAGTGAGGTGGTATTAACAGATTTATTCGACTGCCAGTTGGGAACTGCATTGTCAAGTAGGTAAACCAAAATTAAACTCCACCCATAAAGGTTAGCATCGAATAGAACCTAATGTGATGATTAGGTAGACACGGCAGGGAAACAGTGAACTGCTAGGACACGCTATTCAGACGCCCAGTGCCGGCCACCAGCACATGAATGAGCAACAGGTCTGCAGGTGGCAGGATGACGTTGGTCCCGGCCAGCGGCTGGTGGCGTGGCCTGAGCGACCTGACTTAGTTGCTGCTTTGGTCAGCACTGAACTGAGAACAAGTTGCCCTGGACAAGGCCTGGCTCACAGAACAAAGAGGCAATAGTGCAGCCAATGGGACACGAACCACCCCAACAAGTTTAGTACTGAAAACGTAAGATCCTGGCAAAACCCTCAGTCCCAGGCAAACCAAGAGATCGGGTCATCCACAAGCAAGCAGTGTTGTAGGATTTTAGGAATTGTATCTCTACCCCTTGTGGCTAAGGGGGAGAGACGACCTTTGGAATGCCAGCCACAGGAGACAAAGCCTGTCTCTGGTAGCAAACGCTGCCTCAGTTCCTCTCCCTGCCCCCAGAGCTTGGTTGGAAGTCAATGACAGGTAAGACCCCTCACAGCGGGGGCAACCTAAGCCAGACTCGATCACCTGGGAGGCCTTCATGGAAGGACTTGTGGGGGGAAGGGGGGCGGCTGCAACAAAGAAGGAGCAATGGACCCTCGCCACCCACCCTGGCTTTGTCAAAGCCCGAGTCCCCATGTCCTCTGGGAGAAGCGCTTCCTGGCTCTAATCCCCTTAAGCCTGAACACCTGTTGGGGAGAGGTGCAGGTCTTTGCCTGGCCAGAGCGTGCCCTGGGGAAAAATCTGGCACCACAAAGACTTGCTGATAAACCTGTGAAATCTGCTCTGTTAAGTGTTTTCATTCATATGATAAGGGTCCGAGAGGAAATGAGTATGTCTCCCAAAGTTTCTGCAACTCTCTTCCTGACAGACACTGACTCTGAAGCCCTCAGATCTCTTTGTAATGTTATCTACTGTTTGATCCTTGCCGCCCTGTACTCCTGTGTATTACAACCGAAAAAAAGTCTATGGAAGAAGGAGCTCGAGGCCTCTTTCTCCCCAGAGAAACTGGCCACAGCCCATGCCTCCATCCCCGAACAGATCTCATCATGTCTCGGCCATTTTTAATCACTCACTCACGCGTGTCCGTGGCACCGGGGGGACTTCGTGAAAGAAGTCACCCCCACAGAGCAGATTCTGATTCTCTAGTGTAACATTTCCAATACAACATTTATAATTTACACTCTGTCACTTGGCACCTTGCTAAGTCAATTAAAAATATTCTTTTAATAATAGTGTTTACATAATTCAAGAGATTTACGTGATTTGGAAGTGTTTATTTATAGATTGTGGACCCAAAATAAGTATAGTACATAACTGCATGCTATCGTATGGCTTTTTTTTGTAATGCCACTATTCAAAAACACAAAAAGATTCTATTTTTAGCTTTTAATAGATGCTCACTAGGGGGTGAGTAGTGAAAGAACTCTGGGACACCAGGGGTGACAACACTTATTGAAACCCAAGGACGAAAACTTAGAGCAGATGCATGAATCATACAAAGTGATGAATGAATCACTGAGCCTCAGAACTACTGGAAACATGAAGAGCTTCCAAACAGGTGCAGGCAGAGCTGCAGACTCTGACCTACGTTGCCGAATGTGCAGGCTTATGCCATGTTATTTAGAGCACTCGTACAATAAAGGAAACCAATTTCCCTTCACTTGAGAAAACCATTTCAGCTCGCTTTCTACTTTTGATGTAAAGCACTAATTTTACTTTTTTTTCTGGAAAGTTTTCTGAAAATGACACCTTTTAAACAAAGCCAATTTTATAAAACTCTATTGAAATGTCTAAGGAGCTTGGGACCCATTCCTCTAAATTGAGTCTACAATTATGCACTCTAGATTCTAGGTTACATGCATAAAAATTAAAGGCTATTCGAACTTAAAATTTTGATCGTATGACCTCTTGCAGAGAGACAGCTGCTGGGAGTTGGAATACAGGACTCTCGGCCCCACAGCGCAATCATTTTCGTGTGAATGGCGTTCAGGAACCCCTTTCCCCAACTCAGCACCGCAGGATCCGGGGTAGAGGGAGTGAATAAAGAAGCCTCTGCAGGGGACAACTGTCCTGAAAAATCATCTTCTAATAGCTTGGCTCTTCTCAACCAGAAATTGTTTACAATCTATTTATTATCATCCAGAAGAGCCTTTCGGAAAGAAAATAGATGGGAAATCAGAAAACTTATCCTAGCATAGTTAGCCAGGAAAAAGAATAAAAGAAAAATCGATTTTTAATGCCAGGTCAAGCTGCTTTACTCTAAAACTTCAGTCCCTGGGGGAGGAGGAAGGCCCACCAGGGTTCTTCCGCAGCTTGCCATTGATACCGGACCTGATTCTTAACACGCGTCAATAGTTGTCTCTCAGGGCAGAACAAAGAAATAAGCGATAACCTTAACAAAAATTTAAATTGTGATGTTCTTCATTTGGAAATTCAGCAGGTGCTTGGTAGAGGATGCAAATGCATTTTTACTATACTTAGTGACTTGTCTGGTGATCTCTTAACAAGCCTTTTAACTAAATCTCGAAATCAAGACATTCCAGCGGTCTGTCTACAAAACTGTGCTGTCGTGGGTTAACTTTTTTCTAAAAGGTCAGAGGTCATGAGGGAGGTGCGCACTGACTACCACAGCCTCCAGGCAGAGGCCACAGGAAGGGAGGCCGAGCCTTGGAAAATGACTGCACCAGGGAATCGAACTCGAACCTACAAAGCTGTGACCAGTGCGAATGACATGGAAAGTGGACCCAGCACATTGGAAGCAGAGGCGCTCCCTCCAAACACAGCCGGGGTGCAGGTAGCCTACCTGCCCTTCCTTCGCTGCACCAAGTGGGAGACACGCCCCCCGAGGGGCAAGCAGACTTCTGAGGGAAGCTTTGCTTTCCAGCAAAACAAAGCAACTGGCGGTGGAACCAGGTCTGACTCCCTCCGCTCTCGCGGCAGGTCTGCCATCCTCTTGTCTGGGACTTACTGTCTCCCTCTCCCTCTCAAAGTTAATTTTTTTGGTTGTTCAAGTAGATTATAGGTGGCCAACCACTGGCTTATAAGGTTTGGGGGTTCGCGGAAATGGCAGAACTGCCACAAGAAGGGCATTAGTGTGTTTTGTTACAAGTGGTTAGACGACAGAAAATCATGAATGTGAAAAAAGTGCTACTCGTGTATGGACCATGTCCCATCCGCCATCAGCAGGGGCACAGACATGGGAATCCTCAGGCCCACCCACATCCACGCGATCAGTCCCAGCGGGTAGGACCCAGGTTTTAAGCAACCCCCTCAGATGACTTTTACACTTGAAGTTTAAGAAGTACTATTTGATAACACAAATGCACTAGCTCTCAGGTATACTAGGAGTATGGGTAATAAGAGAAACCTGTCTTTTCCTGGTTATTCGGCTCTGTCCCCAGTTCTCAGGCATCTTACACACATAAATGCACAATATCTGTGTGTTACCCTTACCATCCATGAGTCAAAAACCAGGGAGTAAGCAAAATGAAAAATGAGCAGCCCACATATATGCTGTTAAGTGGGAATTCATAATTATACTCTCTAAGAAAGTACACACTTGCCTGAAGCACGGCAAGTCTACACTTTTTACCTTAATACTTACTATACACATTATATATGTGCATGTACACACGTGCATGCATACACACATGCATACTTTCGACCCTTACGGAGCTAAGTACCTGTGAAATGCACCAAGACTCAAGACGGCCAAGGCTGCATTTCCATTCCCTCGAAGCCACTCAAGACAAACACGCTCAGCATTTCAAACACAGGCAGAAATGCCCGTCACTATGAAACCAGACTCGCTCTCCAACCACAAGTCCCAAAGGTGATGAGCGCTGCCCCGTGGTGCCTGCCAGACACCTGCTGACCTAAGAACCTGAGGACATTTACCGAATGCGCACTACAGAGAAAATTTGTAAAAATACTAGACCTTGGGAAATAATGTTCAGCAACTAAACACTGCATGGATTAATAAGTTGTGAGGGACAAAAACTGTTCTACTTTTTATTATTTTTTTAATGGTGAAGAAGGCTCCTTTTCACCTCCCATTCAATTATCAGTAAATTCTTCACAAATCCAGGATCCGGGTGCCAATGTTTATGAGTGTGAATAGCCGGTTCCTGCAGAAAGGCCCTCTGGCTCCAAGTTGTAACCGTGACTTTCAGAAAGCCGTGTCACACAGCACCAAACGCCTGTTCACATTTTGGGAGCACAAGGGCCAAGCTCTGCCCTGGCCTCAGGCTCACTCCGGCCGCCTGCCCGTCCTGCATGTGCTGTGTCCTCTGCTGCGGGAGCAGAGTGCAGGCGTGCGGGGTTCCAGCCACCCTCCCATTCCGCCTGGGAACAGAGGCAGGGAGGCTGGAGAAAAAGAAGGGCGGGGGGAACACCCTTTAATTCCTACCATTAAAATGGGACAAGTGTGACAGAAAACAGAGCAGCTTGATTATTTTGAAATTACTTTAATTTAGAAATAGAAAACATCTGGGGAAAAATGAAAGAACACAAAATATGCAGGTGATTTTTTTTTACTCCACGAGCTTCTCAAATCCTCTCTTGATGACCAATCCCCAAGAGGAAAAACCCTCCTCTAAAAAGGTATTCAGCCACCCCTGTAAAAGAAAGAAAGATGGTCAGTTTTGAGTGTATGCAGGCTTTTAGTAATAATAATTATTATTATTTGAAATGCAGTCTGCTGTGATGTTATGGAACCAAAACCAGTGTTGTGAGAACTACATCCACATCACCTCAAGGCAGCAGAAAAGAGAAGGGACAGGACTTGAACTCCTGGGACTGAGAAATGCCTTGCAGAGGACAGGGCCGCCAGAACAGACTGGTGTGACAGCTTAGACCCTCCCCGGAACGGGCGTCCAGTCCCCTCCCTGGGGCGTGTGTTCAGTCCAGCACAATGTCTTTCTGAACAAGGGAAAGATACAAACCACAGGATGGGGTGGTCGGTAGGAAGTTTCTCAGTGTGACAGACAATGTGTTAGTTCTGCACAAGGAATTCAGACCAGCACAATGATTCCCAAGCACGACAGCTCACCACAGTCACACACACTGGGTCTAACCCTAACAAGAACCAAAATCACTTCCAGTGCTTGGGTTCTCCGTCAACACCAGGGGATTCAAACAGCATTAACAAGTCAAGAGACATCTATGCATTAATGAAATAGCAAACTGTCAAATCAAATGGTTTCCATTTTCACTCCACTCTAAATACTATTTCAAAAAGTGTACTTACACAATGATGTTATTAATGGGGATATGGATCAATTTCACAAAAAAACCAATGAACCCCATTATAGCAAATCCTATTGCTGTTGCCATGGCAATCTTCTGGAACTCTGGATTAAAAACACACAATTTGTCATTTTCATAGTGTCATTGCAAGAACAGGAGAAAAAACTAGCAGTGACATAAACTCACTGGTGTGTCTTTCTCCTGACAGTAAATATATAGCTTTAAATAAAATAAAATAGGACACTTTATTAACAATAAATAAGCTATGTGATCAATTTTAAATTTTCATACTGTACTGTTATTTAAGAAACACAGAAATAAAGTATCTGCCCATTCTAGTGAATCCATCAACAAACAGCAAAATATTTCCTTCTCAGCAAATGACCAGGATGCCAAAAAGAAATATAGATGGAAGAAATACAGAGTATTTGCCTTAAAATTTTTGTAACATTGCTAAAAATATTGATTATAAAAGCACAGACCAAACTTTTTATAAAAAATGGGCCCACTGTCTTTGATGTTATGATGAGGCCAAAAATTGTGGCGGGCACAATTTTATGTGAAGGTTGGGACCCTGGTTCCCATTTGACTATTTCCTCCCCTCTGGGAAGCTGACCAGACTCGCACAGTCCCCCCAGGGGGCCTCCCATTTCTCTTCCATAGCACTCAGCACAGCAGTGACGGGGCTGGTTTAGGCAGCCGTCCCTGAAAAACTCGGGGCTCCGTATGAGCAAGGACCCAGCCCTGTTACATACTTTCATACATTTTACTATACTTGTAATGTATTACTTTCTCTATTGTATCTCCACTCCTAACCCAGGCAGCAGTGACTAAATGAATAAAAGTAGACAAACTCTGGCGCATCTTTTAACACACGAATTGTGGTCAATAAGAAATTAACCCTCCTAGGCTGGCAACACCTCTGATGATTCATGTCACGGCTCTGTTTGGGGGATCTGAAGGTGGGACGTACAGAGCACAAAGGAACCCCCCAAAAATTTTCTGAAATGAAAATATGGAAGATACTAAAAACTCTGAAATCATTAAGTATGTCTAAGACAAACATAACATGAAAAACAGGGCTGCAATAACTAATCTTACACCATTTGAAAACACATAAAACAAAAAATGTGTAATGTGTACAAAATTTAGGAAGTGACAATGTTAAAAAGCAAGAAAGCAAATCAGGAAAAATGTGGATGAGAAAAAGTAACTAACAGCCACTAAATAGGACAATATTAATCAAATGAAAGGCTTAGAAAACACAAAGATGGAACTTTTTCTCTCACTTTAAAGCTATTACCTTTTCTATCGGGTTTGGTGCATCTTTTGACCAGCCGAATTGAATCCTTCACAAACTGTCGACTGGGCTCAACGAACTGCATTACCTGGTCCATGATGCTTTTTTAGAAAAACAAACAGAAAAGATACTCAGTGGCATTTATCATACAGCAAGGACTTGTTCAGTTATACCGAATCGCAAATGAGACCAGCCAGAAATTCATGCCTGATACGGGTCAATCCCATCCCAAAAAATAAACAAAGGGACAGACATGACTTTGGCAGATTCCAGCACAGCATCAGATCAACGGCAACGGCACAGATTTTACCCCGTTATCGTCACTGACAACGGCCGCACACACAGTCAAACAATCACGCCTCCCTCCGTACCCACTCTGCACTCCTCTCATTCTGCTCAGAAGCCAACCATGTTGGCAATCCAACAAACACTTTACTTTAAACTCCCCAGAACCCAGTGTCTCCCCCGGTGAATCCCAAAGACGGCTCCTCCAGAGTCAGAGAAGAGAAAGGTGACCCTGGGTTTCAACCTGACTGTTCCTAACCACAGCCACCTGCACTTCCAGAAAAGAGGGCATTTGCTGGGATAGATCTATCTAATTCTCAGAACTGGGAGGAGTCGCTGCAGCCACAAGCTCAACTCCAGACTTTCAGATCTGGACACGGCTCTGGGGGAACAGGGCTGTAAAGTTTCCCACACTGGTTCCAGTAAGAAAATGCCGCCTCGCCTTAGATTTTTTCTTTCTTTCTTTCTTTCTTTGTCTCAGAATTTCTTATCCTCAAGGATCTTAGCTTTGAGAGCCACGGATACCACTGCGATGGAGGCCAGTGTGTCACTGTAACTTATTATTATCTCCAGTGCTTATGACAGTGACCAGGTGCATAAACACTTAACACACCTCTGATAAACCAATGAATTAACGTCATCATAAGACCAGGCCGGGGTTCGAATCCATATCTATGCCATATTTCCTGGCCCGGGGTGGGCAGATACAATAATGAACATGAAAACATTTAAAATACACTAGGAATTCTATACACATTCTGGGTCAAGTATGTTGGGTCCCTCCAAAAATACATTAGTGCTAGCTTTCTCAATATTTCACTGCATTCTGTTCTTCAAACCAGCTTAGCTTTAACTTCACAGATGTCGCGACAGAAGTTAAGGACCCTTTCCCGGGGGCGGGGGTGCACCATACACAAAACACTGCCCTCGTTGTCTGGGGAGGGCCCCAATAACCCACAGTGACCCGCTGATCCAGAATTCAGATCGATCCTCCCACATCACAGGAGCCGAGGCAGGGCCGCCTGAACACAGCTCTTCCGAGAGGACACATCCGAGAGGATTCACATCCCCAAGACAACCCTAAAGGGGACGCCGGCGGCAAGCCATTGGGTGGCTGGAGAAGAGCGACCTGAAAGGCGACGTCTGGGCTTTTTCACACCCGGAAAAACCACGGACCTTGGCGTCCCCTCCCCGGGGGAGCCACGGTCCCAGGTCTCCGCTTCCCAACCTTCCTGTGGCTAGACCCTGTTCGCGGACCTGAGCGAGGGGCCCTCTCACCGACCACCCGTCCACACCAGCCAGCCGGGACACCTGCCCACGCCCGCCGCCTCCGCAAGTCACAAAGCCTCGCTCACTCCCCCGGGAGACAGTGCCTTACCTGCTCACCGACACCACGGATGCTTGGGACACGTAGCACTGGAGACAAGTGACCACAGCCCACCGGAACCGGAAGCTGAGTCGCTGACCTACAGCCCGCCCACCCCTCCGCTCATTGGCCGATTGGGTACCTACTTCAGTACGCAGGCGCAGCTCGAAGCCCGTCTCAGCTCCGCTTCCGGAGAGAGAGTAGCAGGGGGACTGAATTGTGTAATGCAGTCTGAGTTTGTAGTCTATGTTCTTCTTCCCGCGCTGAGCCCCAGGCACCCCACCAGACCGGCGGCGCCCGCCCTCTTGGACGCTGACTCGGCAAATCTCCCCGGATTGCACTGGGCGGGATGACTTCCAAGTTAGCAGCGTTTCCTGCGGTTCTTCATGGGCGGTGCGCCTCCCTACTGCCCACACTTTCTATGCACTTTTACGGGTCACAGTGAAGCGTGTAAGCTGTATAATCGTGTTTGCCCGACCCCCAAACCTGGCATCCTCCTATGCTAGCCTTGGTAATATCGTGGGAACCGAGGCTACCGTTTGGTGCTTTAGATTTGGTTTAGGGACGTAGTTATCATCTACGTATTTTGCTGAGAATATTGTGAACCCAGGCATGTGGTGGCCGCTGGTGAACTTGTCAACCTGCAGCTTACTTTTTAAAATGACTCGGTCTTCCAACAGGTATTTACTGAGCACCTGCTCTGTACAACATTTTAATACGTGCTGTGGGTAAACCAGGCATCGCGTACCCCCTTGAAGCTTGTTGGGGTCTGATCAGGGAATTCCCAGTGCAGGGAGAGAGACAGACGAGTTAACAAAGTCATTATAACTTAATATAAAGGCTATGTAGCAAATCAAAAGGGTGGTGTGGAGAGAGGGAGGTGGGACAAAGAGAGGACTGCCTTGGATGGTCACCGTGGGATTCTAGGGGAACGACGCCCCGGCTCAAGTCCTAGGGATGAAGAATTATGCAAATTAGTCAAACACCCAGGTCAATTCAAAATTTAAAAATGGCTCTTTAAAACCTACAGGAGATTGTATAGCAGGTATATTTGTAACAGCCAAAAAACTAAAAGTGATTCAGGGGTGCATCAACAGGAAAATGGATAAACAAAAAGTATATTTCCACAATGAAATACCACACAATTGAGAAAAAATTCTATGCAACACTAATGAGTATCAAAAACATGGTGATTGAAGGAAGTTAGTTATTCTAAGAAATGTTTTAGACAGAAAAATTAGTGCCCTGCCATGATGAGAAAATTGACACACTTTCTCCTTACCCCCTCCCCTTCCGTTGCTGTTAGTGTTTTGGGATATTCCCTAAATGAGGGCGGATTCCTTTGCTGACTTCACTAGGATCAAGAAATTCAAAAACTCTCCAGAGACACTGATAAGAGAATGAAAAGACAAGACACGGACTGGGAGAAAAAAAATGCCAAACATATCTGGTGAAGGATAAAATATACAAGCACTCAAAACTCCTTAAAAAATAGGCAAAGGATCTGAACAAATGCCTCACCAGAGAAGAGACACAGAGGGCAAACAAGCATATGAAAAGGTGTTTAGTGTCAGGTGTCATCAGGGAACCACAAAGCAAAACGGCATTACCACCACACACGCACGCATTACACAGCACTGACCACACCAAGCACTCATGAGGATGGACAGCAACAGGAACTCTCGCTTATGGCTGGTAGAAACTCGGGCTGCTACGGTCACTTTGGAGAACAGTTGGGAGTCTCTTACAGAGCTGAACACATTACTATACCATCCAGCAATCACGCTCCTTGGGATTTCTCTAAATGAGTTGAAAACTTTCATCCACAGAAAAACCTGCACACAGATGTTTAGGGCAGCTGTAGTTATAATTGTCAAGATGTTAAGGCCACCAAACTGTTGCTTTCAGTAATTGAGTGGAACAAACTGCAATACACTTATATAATGCAATATGATTTAATAATAAGTGAGCTACCAGGCCATGAAAAAACATAGAAGAAGCTTAAAGGCACATTGCTAGGTGAAAGAAGCCAGTCTGGAAAGGCTACATACTATATGATCCCAGCTGCATGACATTCTGCAAAAGGCGAAACTGTAGAGACATTTAAAAGGTTAGTAGCTACTAGGGGCTTGAGTAGAGGGAGGAAAGGATAAACAGGTGGAGCACAGAGTATTTTTACTGTGGTGAAACTACTCTGCGTGACCCCACAACAGTGGGCATGTGACAGGAGACATCCATGAAAACCCACAGAACTCCTTGCAACACACACAAAGAGAGCATTAACTCGTGTAATCCAACCAGAGATTTTCCTGCCTTGCTCTCTCCCGCCACAAGCAGTCCTCCTCAGGTTTCCTCCTTAATTCAAAAGTATGAAAGAAAGTGCAACATTGTCATTCCCCAGAGCATTTACAATCTTGCTTTCTGGCATGTATTCAGTTTGGCTCAAGTAAACTCATAAAAATTCTCTATAGGTTACACTGTTCTTAGATCAACAGAGAACATTTAGAAGCACTGAGAACAAGGGTTTCTGTATTTTTTCTAGCAGAAGAATCCAGGAAAGACGCAAGATGGCGATATTACTCCAAGAAAGCACGTGTATGTGAGACTCCCCTTCCATCCTTTCCCCTCCTCTCTCTCTCTCTCTCTCTCTCTCTCTCTCTCTCTCTCACACACACACACACACACACACACACACACACTCATCCCAGGTTCACCTGACAGTCCTGAAGTCTTTCAGGATAATTTGGTGTCCTCACCTTTTCAGCTCTGCAGTGTCTTACCTAATACACTTAATTCTTGCCTACTTTCCATGACTATGCCACAGATCATTTAAATATCTCAAAAGCTAAGAGTTTTTTGTCCTTTCTATTGTTGTTAATAAAAGTCAAAATAATAAATAGTTCACAATCAGCAAGATATTGTCTTCCTAGGGAGACTCATGATTACAGCAATCTGTTACCAATTGAGCTATTGAAAAATTTGGTTCCATTTAACCAGCACTTTGATTTGTACTTCAAACACTCAGCCATCAGAGGGCAGTGCAGAAGCACAAACGTGGTCAAACAGGCCTGCCTTCTAGGAGAGAAATGCCCCTGGAACAGTGGCTGTGACCCTGGGAATCACAGTTTTCAGCGTAGAATCCTACTGGATCGTCTACAGGAGACCACCACCAGGTTACCAGAGAGCACCAAGAAGCATGCACTCTATGGAAAGTGAAAAGAGCATTAAGTGCATTTCTGAAAACCATCTGATTCAGCATTTCTTGTTCAAAACATTATTTCTCCGTAATAATGTAGTTCCCACTGACAAACTCTCTTGAAGACTGTCACATCTGGACAACTACATGAATTCTCCTGAATCGGGAGGGACATCGGCCAGGAGGAAGGCAAGACACCTGGTGAATGAGCCATTTTTAGGACTTTCGCCCTTGGGGCAGACCCCAATCTGTGCTATGGGGACCCTGGAATCTCAGACAGCACACCTCCTTTTCTGGCCGAAAGAAGCAGAATGTTCAGCACAACTGCAGTAACTAGAAAGTGAGGGGCAGGGGGGGCAAGAAAAAGAGCCAGAGGAAGGGATAAGCAATGCCGGTGTATAAAATCTAACTTCTAGCTGCCCCTACATGCTGCTCACACAGGGCAAGGCAACTTGGAGTGGCTGCGGCTGAGCCCTGGCACATCCCCGAGTCCCCCTGCTGCCCGCCAGTGCCTCCCTTTGCTGGGGCCGGGAGGCCTGGGCTAGCCTGTCTCTGCCCCTGACGACTGTCTGATGCCCCGAGCCCATTCTAAATCTCCCTGAGCCTCCGTGTGTCCTGCCAGCTAGTGAAGGGAGCCACACCTCTCTCGCAGGGTAATTTTTGAGGATTATGGTAACTAATGTGTATAAACTGCTGGCACATAAGAGTTAAGTATTAGTCTGCTTCCCACTTTTCTCTTGTGGTTTACATGGAATCCTGTGACTAATTCCAATTTCTGAGATAAACTCAGGTGGCAAACCTCCCCGTCATCATGATACTGTGGTCCTGAAATTTCATTAAGCGCCGTGTGAGCTTGCTTCTAACAAGCGTGGGTTACCCATCCCCATTTTTTAATCCAGGTTTAAAGAGTAATCTGCCACCTTTCTGCAGTGGGCACCAGGCTGCCGGGCTTCTTAAGCCTCTGAATGGCTGTAGCCTCTAATTAACCGCGACCGTTACCGGCTCCCAAAGAAGATTTCAGAACCATTTGCCTGTCTCAACATCGGCTTTTCTGGCTTCCTATTTAGTCTGGGCTCTCTAGTCTTTATTAATCTTTATTTCCTGTTGCCTCTTTTTTTTCTGAGTGGTTAACCTTTACATGATTATGAGTGACAGAGTTGACCAGTAATTTAAAGAACTATGATCTCTATCCTGGAATCATCCATGATTCTTCCTTTTTTCCTGCCTCTCCCATCCAATCACCATGTGCCCGCCAGTCCTTGCCCCTCTGCCAGTCACCTGTCCCCAGGACTCCATGAGTGGCCCAGGTCCCTGCCTCCACTCATGCCCCTGTACGCCACTCTCCACCACAACCAAGAGTCAGAATATTTAGAATGTGTATCAACTTAAATGAATCTTTCACTTAAATGTCTCTCATGGCTTCTGACTGTAGTTAGAATAAAACCCAATCTCACTCGCCCCCTGGGGACTTCTCTGCAGTTGCTGCCAAAACTTCTCTCTTGCCTGTGGCCCTGGCTTTGGTTCTGCCCATGAGCTTTGCACACTCACCCCCATCCAAGCCGCTGTGCTCCCAGATCCCAGCGCTCCCTGCACTCCCCATGTTCTTTCTTTGTCTGGCTGCCCACCTTTTCTCATCCCCTCGTGGATTCTGTCTGTCTTGTCCGAAAGGTCCTTCCTCGCTGTGCTGACTAAAGCAGTCCTCACCCAGCCCTGGCCCCCGCCCCAGTTCCTCTCTGTCCCCTGCCACTGGTGTGTTGCTTCGCAGGGCTTGCCACAGTTGGAACATGGCTTTGTTTGTTGCAGTAACACTCCGTTCAGATATACAAGTAGAGTTTATCAGAGAAAAGCATTGAGAGAAGTAGCAGAGCATGTACAGTCTTTCTAACTAGTGTTA